TTTTCGTGCCAAAAACGGCATACTATACTATGTCGTTTTTTTCCGCTAAAAACGCCTTACTATACTATGTCGTTTTTTTTGTGCCAAAAACGGCATACTATCCTATGTCGTTTTTTTCGGCTAAAAACGCCTGACTATACTATGTTGTTTTTTTCGTGCCAAAAACGGCATACTATACTATGTCGTTTTTTTCCGCTAAAAACGCCTTACTATACTATGTCGTTTTTTTTTGTGCCAAAAACGGCATACTATCCTATGTCGTTTTTTTTTGTGCTAAAAACGCCTTACTATACTGTCGTTTTTTTCGTGCCAAAAACGGCATACTATACTATGTCGTTTTTTTCGTGCCAAAAATGGCATACTATACTATGTCGTTTTTTTCGTGCGAAAAACGCCTTACCATACTATGTCGTTTTTTTCGTGTTAAAAACGCCTTACTCTACTATGTCGTTTTTTTCGGCAAAAAACGCCTTGCTATCGTATGCCGTTTTTTTCGTGCGAAAAACGCCTTGCTATACTAGTATGCCGTTTTTTTCGTGCTAAAAACGCCTTGCTATACTATGTCGTTTTTTTTCGGCCAAAAACGCCTTCTTCTACATGGTCGTTTTTTTTCGGCTAAAAATGCCTTACTATACATGGTCATTTTTTTCGGCTAAAAATGCCTTACTATACATGGTCGTTTTTTTCGGCTAAAAATGCCTCACTATACATGGTCGTTTTTTTCGGCAAAAATCCAATCTTAAATACTTAAAAAAAAAACACAAAACAAAACAAGTGAAGCAGCACAATTATAGACGTGAGGATTTCATGCGTAACTTTGCTGCTGTGTGGTCACGCCAGTTTTATGAGTTGTTGACTCACTTTGCAGTCGGAACAAAAAGACAATCGATGCTGACTCACTCAAGGAAGTTTGAAATTTGGTTACAATAAACATTGTAAAAAAAAAAATAAAAAATCATGCACTGATCATAATGGTAAACGGAGTCAGATAATGTCAATTGGGGTGTGCTTGCTGACACACATGCATGAAGACAGACAAGTCATGCTAACGGGAATGATCAGTTCCTTATTAGAATTTACAGAAGTTGTCAGATTCCCCAAGATAGGAAATGAGATCAGGAAATAAAATTCAGGTCAAATAATATAACAGATCCGAAATGTATATTTTTAGATACTTATATTTTGAAGAATTCAAAACAAACAAAATTGAAGATTGGAATTTTTTGGACAAGGTAAAAAAAAATAGAGAACATTTACTCCTATTTCCAACGTGTCAGGGAACGTTAACCTTGGTTATCGATCTTCAATGAAGTTGTTTGCCGAATGTAGTTCAGGCCAAGGAAAGAATGAATGGATGTCATTTTACAAATGACATACTTGACCTTTCTCCCCTTTGTGTGGAATCTGAAAACGTGCGACAAGATTTCTGAAGAAAAGGAGCAGACACTCCCTCTCAATTAACAAGCTCGCTACAACATTCGTTCGTTTTTGGTCTTAACGCAATGTGTCATTTATGTGGAGAACGGCAGCAGCAAATAAAACATAATCCAGTGGTTGGCGGGGATGAACACAAAAGTCCCAAAACTTTTCTACTAAAGACAAACAAAAGCAAGAGTTTTTTTTAATTATCATTTTTCTCCCTAATCACTTTTAATTCAATGGACAGGCAAAGTCTTAGTGAAGCAAGTCACAAGAACCTTAAATTACAAAAAACAACAACATGGTGACATCATCAGCTATGACATTTGGCTGTTGTAAAATAAACTTACAAAAATTCATTTTTATTTTTTTAAAAAGTAGTGTTACAATAAAGGCTTGTAAACAATGAGATGTACTACCTCCACATCTCAAGATAATATCGATCTGAGGTATATGAGGCAAATTCTTAGCAGATGTCGATCACTGGAAGACGTTACAATTAATAATTAACAACAACAAAAAAAACTAGCATAAATACATTTAGAAATGACATCTAACATTTACTAAACAAGCCAATTAATCTATTGGGACAAATCTAAAATGCATACAAATTCGTTATTTCCTTGTTTTCTTTTAGCGCAAGGCGGCTTGGTTGAGCAACTCGATCAAAACACCAAATCACCAGCAGAGCAAACGGGCTTGCGAAAACACAGAAGGGTCGCGATTACGTGATCCCAATTTAATAAAGTCCCACCCCGAACGACCCTGACAGAACACCGCCCCTCCCACTCAAGATATTTAAACAAATGTTCAAGCCTCCCAAATAACGAACCAAAATCGAGTCCGTCATATCGTACAAAACGAAAAGTTTGACCCGATGCAAAACGGCTCAAAGTGCTCAAAGGATCTCTTGAAAGAGGACTTGAGTACGAGGGCCACACCTCCACCGTGTAAATAAATAACCTGCTACAAGGAGAAAGTCTCAGTATAAAAAAAGTATAGTCTTACCATTTAAAAAAGAAAAAAAAAGCCTGACCTGAAAGTTGACAAAGAAGTCACAACTACTATTCAATGTGACACATTACATGAAATTGTCATTTTGAGAGATCATCGTTTCAAACTCCAATTATGAGAAACAATTTATAACATTTTTCATGAAGATACAAACTTGACCTTTTATCAGAACCGATATATTTAAAAAAAACTATGGAGTGGTAGGAGAATTTTGCCATGTATGAAGTAGAGGAAGAATTTTTGCTTTGTCAAATCTGTATTTTTTTATTACTCATATTTTTTTCTTCGTGGACAGTGTGGCCCTGAAACTGCTTGGTCGAGGGGAAATGAAGGGGAAGAGGAAGGCGGGTCATCCAAAAATGAAGGTTTTTTTTCCAATTGCTGTCCAATAGCGACCCCTACAGGTAAACCTTTTTTTTGCACCCTAAAAAAAAACCCTCGTTCTTCCTTGATGGCCACCGTGATTAAATCTGTATCAATATATATATTCTTATAAATATATATAGATCGATCATATACAAGTACGGTCACGAAAAGACAGCATAATCTCTATATTGCCAAAGAGAAAGTGTTTTCAGTGTTCACACTCATTCATCATGTCAGCAACTTCCTGTTTCCTGAGTAATACTTTTTTTTTTTTGCTTTGTTTCCTATCTTGGGCTATCATCATTCCCTGCCAAACTAAGTCCGCTGGCTGGTGAAAAATATTCCTATTAGTATAATCATAAAAAATAATACTATACTTATAAGTCCTGTCACGGTTGTACCCCATAAATAAAAAGAAGAGACATTTACATGAAATTGTCTGCTGGGAAAGAGGAGTGGCATCAGAATATTAAAAAAAAAAGTAATACAAATAAAATAGGTTTAAAGTTTGAGGTGTGGTCTCATCTGAAACTTTGGCTGGTCGGCGATTTGGAGGCGGGGCTGGCCGGCTCACCGACATCGGCCAGCAAGCTGCTGTACCCTGAGAAGTCGGACACGGGCGTCCTTATCCGATCTTCGGACTTGAATTGTGACCCAAAAGCCTGCGCAAAAGTTTCGATCTGGTAGGGGGCGGCTTTTGAAGAGGACAGTGGGAATATGGTGGCCAGGCCGTTCTTGGTGGGCGGCGCCTCCTTGTGGCCATTGAGGTCCGCCGGGTTGATTGGGTAGGATGACGGCGGCGTGGTGGAGGCGTTGAGCTCCTGTGAAGGGGTGAGCTGGTGGTGGTGAGCGCCGTCCAGGAGCTGAAAGGCGGGCTGAGGCGAGGCGTCGGCGGCCCCCGATGGCATGAAGCCGCATTCTGAGTAGAGGAAGGGTCCGGAAGACGGGGCGGCCAGTGGGAAGCCGACGCTGTGGCTCGTGCGCTCCAGCGCCTGCAGTAGGAAGCGCGAGTACTCGTTCATCATGATGCCTTTGTCGCCGGGTGGAGTGGAGCCGGCGTCCAGGTCTTGCGCCGAGGCGGGCTGGAGCGCCTCCACGTGCTGGTCGCCCAGATCAAAATGGAGGTGGTGTTGCTGCGAGGTGTCGGGCTTGTGCGTGTACTGCTCCAGCAGGCTTTGCAGCACCTCGTCGGGAATACTGGACTTGTCCAGGCCCGCGTCGGCGTCCGTCATCTGAATGACCGTCGGGTGTGGCGACAACAGGTCGTACTCGGCGCCGGCGCTTCCTGTTGACGACATGGCGTTTTGGAGGTAGCGTCGCTTTTTGAGGAACTGCATGGCGTCGTCGTAATTGTTGTTGGCCACTTTATTGCCGTTTGTCTGCATGAGAGCGTGATCCTCAACGTGCTCCACTGAATCCACTTTCCCTCCTTTTTCTAGACTCTTCCGATGGGCCTTCTTGAACGCCATCTTTGGAGCGCGGCTATGGTGTTGCATGCTGGGACCCGCCGGCTCTGTCATCGAGGAGAGAGTCGGATTCTCAAGCGAGTAGTCGTGGACGCTGTAGGCTCCGCTGACAGCAGCGGGAATGTGAGGGGCTCTCAAGCCGGTGTCCCCCTTCTTCCTCTTTCGGGTGCCTCCGTCACCAGGATTTTTGGAGCGACCTTTTTTCCTCCCAATTCCCGCCGTTGTGTTTCCCTGAGTGATTCCGTAGCCTCCCATGTCCACACAAGCCACGTCCAGCATGCTCGGATCCAGAACTTTCCTCAGGGCATCTCCACACGTCCGCTTGTGCTTCAGCAGTCGATCTGTCCTGGAAAAAAACTGAACAGAAACCAAAATATTTTCCAACAGTCGTGTACGCTGTGGGGCTGTGATTTCAAATTAGTTATTGAAGCTTGAATTGCCGTTTCAAGTTCACGCCATGGTGTCAGATTAAGTTTAGGATTTCATGCAAAGGTTGGGTTTTCATACTCAAGACCGGGTTTCAACTTTGGGTTTCAATCAGGCGGCACCATAGTCAACTGGTTAGCACGTCGGCGTCACAATGTGGGGGTCCAGGGTTCGATTCCAGCTCAGGCCTTCCTGTGTAGATTTTGCCTGTTTGCGCTGTGCCTACGTGTTTTTTTTTTTTTTTCTGGGTATTCAATTTTCCTCCCAACCTGCCATGCATCTTTTTGGAATATGAGAGGAAACCAGAGTACCCGGAGAAAACCCACGCAGTCACGGGGCGAACATGCTAACTCCACACAGGAAGCCCGGAGCCGGAATTGAACCCTGCACCTCTGACACTGCGAAGCTGACGTGCTAACCAGTCGACCACCAGGCTGCCTGTGAGGATAAGTAGATTTGAAAATGGATGGACGGCGTCAATCAAATAGGGGTTTAAAAATGACATTTCAAGCCAGTGTTAGCGTTTCAAGCGCAGGCTGCATTGATTCTGCAAGGCAACAATGACAACGAGGAAATCAAAATGTCGCACCTGTTGGCAGTTCTCACATCTGTAGGGCTTCTCTCCGCTATGCGTGCGCTTATGTCTCTCCATGTGGTACTTCTGGATGAAGCGCATGTTGCACTGGTCACAGCTGAACGGCTTCTCTCCTGACAGCGTTCGAGAAGAAACAGTCGAGGTAAGACGGTGAGTATGCGGGCATGTTCCCGTCAGCGCGTCTAATGACTCACCGCTGTGGATTTTCTCATGTCGCTGGAGGAGGTACTTCTGGATGAAACTCATGTTACACTGGCTGCATCTGAACGGTCGCTCACCTAAATAGGAATTTATGTACATTATATTATAAATCTTTTAGACAAGATGCCAAGCGTTTATTTGACCCTCTCATGAAGTTTGCAGACAAAATATTAAGATGGCGTAGGTCTTACCAGTGTGAATGAGGACGTGTCTGCGCAGATGATAGGAACTCCTGAAGGCGGCACTGCAGTGTTCGCAGATGTGAGGTTTACTGCCCGGTGACACGTTGCCTCCATCCAGCATCGTGGACTACAGGCAACATTCAAAGTAGCAAATCAGCAACTCCAGTTCAGTGAGCCATTTGGCTTGTCGGTGAGGTTTTTCCTCTGATGCATAGCAAAAAGTTACCAGTGATGGCTAAGACTTTTGAAAAGCGTGATGGTAACCATGTGTATGAAAAATGGAATAAATTCACACAGAAAAATAAGAACACTTTAAATTGATAGTGAAAAGTGTGAATTTTTAGTTAGTCAAATGACTTTGTTGTATACTTTGCATCACAATTTCATTCATTAAAAAAAAAAAAATGTACGTGTCAAACCTTTGTGTCGCTCCGCTTCTTCCTTGGCCGGCTCTCTTGTCCATCACCATTTGACCTGCGACCTTTCCTCCCACTGGGCTCCTTTCCCAACTGACTCGGCAGCTGCCAGGATGACAAAGGAGAACGGCGTGAGAGGCCGCCACCGCATACGATTTGTTTCATTCAAGGATTGAGCAGGCTCTAAAAAGAGTCGTTTACACGGGCATAGAAAAAAAGCTTGCAAAAACTAATCGTCTCAAAAAGCATAAAAACAAACCAACAAATATGAGCTAAAATTACAAGGAATTTTAAAAAAAATGGCCATCTTATAAGAAAGTTGAACTTTCCCCCAAAATAAAATCAGAAAAAAGAAAACAGTTTTTTTTATTAAAGTCATAACATGAGATTAAAGTTGATTTTTTTTTTCCTCCATAAAATGTTGAGCCCAATTTTTCATTGTACTAAACATTGAAGGACAAATGTCAGCGTCCCTGAAGGTAACACCCGATTTAATATGACAGGCCGGAGTAGTACTCACGTTGGCCGCGTTGACTTCGTGCACGAGCAGGTTCGGATTACTGACGGCGACCTCCAGCAGCTCGGTGGTCTTGGCCAGCCCCCCCGGGTAGAGCGGCAAGCGGTAGTCATGCTCAGACATTTTCTCCTGCTTGATGCCCAAGGCGTGGACGTAGTCGCCCGTCCCTAGAAGGGCGCCGCCGCTGCAGTCGGGCGAGTCCCGCTCCTTCTTTAGGATCATCTCCTGCGGCCCGACGGAATGCAGCCGGGTGAAGCTGGTGACGGGCGGCAGGTGGCTGAACATGATCATGCCCGCGCCGAAGGTGCTGTCCATGCCGCCGTTGGGGCGCAGGAAGTCGTTGCCTAACTTGTCTTGAATGATGCTCATGGTGGCGGCTGGATGGGGAAAACTATGGCGTCGCAGTCAGTCTCATCCTGCCGGGAGAAACAAAGGCAATCGGAATAATTAGCATGCGTAAACTATAACGTGTGTGTGTGTGTGTGTATTTTCAGCATCCTCCAAAATTATTGTTAGCTCTGGTTGAAATGTGTTATATGGCTCCTATTTTTTTTTAAACAAAATTATCAAAATAGACTCATCTTTAGAGACATTTATATTATTTATATATATAGAGAGAGAAAGAGAGAGAGAAAGAGAGAGAGAGAGAGAGAGAGAGAGAGAGAGAAATAAGAGGAGGCCGGATAATCGTCTGCTCTTACTGAAGCTGCAATTGTGCGGGATCTCTGCGCAAAAAGAGGCTTCAGACAGATTAAAGGTGATGATTCGTAGGGTCAACAAATGGGCTGCAGTCTGGCACGAGGACAAATGCAAGAGGTTCCTGTCTGGCGGGGCGCTGCATTTACTCCGTTTCCCATCGAACGTTAATCTGCGCGACCGTTTGTGTCTGATCCAGTCATCCTATTTGCATGAGGATTATATGCCAATGAGTGCTGGTGTGTGATTACACGGAATACACACATCAATCCAGAGATGCAAGATGCTGCCAATGATCGTGTTCAAATATAAATCAATGGTTAGTATAAGTGTTTACCCCTCAACCTCATTGGCACTGTTATAAACTGAGGGCCGTCTGAAGTTAAGGACATGGTTTGTTTATTACAAAATCTATTTTGACGTGACACTGACAAATGTGAATACAGGGGTCCTTGTTTTACAACAGAGTTAAATTCCTACAGCGGTGGTATGCAAGTCTGAACACGCCATCGTCTTTGATCACAAAGTCATGCTAACGCGGCGGTGAAGCTGCATGTGGCAAACAAAGTTGTTGTTCCAGTAAAGTATTTTGCAACAGCGTTGGCGTGACCAGCGTAAAAGTTGCTGTTGAGCACCTGCGGGGTCCTTCTTTTTAAGTGACATCGCAACTCGGGCCTCCCACTTTAAAGGGGGTTCCTGTGCACTTTTCCAAGCATTATTGTTTGCTGGGCCATCACATTTTATTCTGCCCGAAAGCCATTTAAAAATAAAATAAAAAACTTGGAACCCAATTTGGACCCCTGAGCCACAGTTTGCAAAACCATAACTCATAACCTAGTACTCGCATTTAATACATTTTATTCCTCCCTTCTGGGGTCGAAATGAAATGGGAGTGTGGTACTTTAGTCCCGACTTAATCACGCTGCTCGTCGGGGGCAATAAACCAGGAGGCTCAAATAATGCTAACTGTCTCGGGGCGCCCTCCGTCGTCTTGTTCTTTGTGATGTGGGACAATAATTAATGTGGCCGCGCATTTCAGGACCGCGTATCAGCCTCGCCGCGGCGCTCAAAACGCACAAGCTTTCGAAATCGAAACAAAACATGCAATGCCCAAGTTCCATCTGTCATCGGGAGGTTAAGTTTGTCAAAAAGTTACCTTTTCGGTTGAACGAGAAGATATTATAATTAGAGGACACTCACGAACGAATAATGAAGGACGAAAGAGCAGCTGCTTGTTTTCGGATTTAAAAAAAAAAAAAAGAGAAAAATCATAAGTTTTCATTCATATTTAATCAGAGTCGGCGACTCGGTTCTTCCGGAAACCGGAGCGAGCGTTATGCGGTGATGGAGCAACGAACACGGGCATGACCCACAAAGTCCCGAGTGAACAATGATGCTCGGTCCTATTAGCTTAGCAATGCTAACCGAGCGGCGGCGAGCAGCTTTTGTTGTCTGTCCCGCACGAGAAGTTTAAACTTTCCAGACGTAGCCATTAGAAACGGACTTTTTTTGGTGTTGCTTTTAAACCACGGCCGGCGTGTCTCTTACCGGCGCATGAGCACCACAAGCCGCTCGTCAGGCCGGCGTCGTTGGCTCTCGGCGCTCCCGTTTTCCCCCAAAAATCTCGAGTCAAAACATTGTTCTCCGGCAGCTGCTGGGTTCTTCCATCTTGGCTGCGCGCGGAGCATTGTGGGTCTTGGACGTGCGCGTGCAAACAAACGCGCGCGCCCGTACCCACGTTTTAAAACATTTTGTTGATACAACAAAGTGTGTAGTTTTGCACAGAGAGGTTTGAAAAAAGAAAGTGTTCTTGATGGCAGTGTAAAATAATAGATGAAAATCAACAATGTCAAAAGTTTGATCGGGGAAATTGTTTCTTATAATACTTAATAACTCCTGGATAGTAGGCCCGCAAAGCCTTCTCTGCCGAACTAAATTCCATCCAAATTGGTTGGTGGGAGCAAAACTAGTTACAGCCAACATCGACTAGTAAATCACCTGTGAGGCAATCTGCACACACAAGTACATGTAATACTCAACAACAGAGCTGTAACACTTAAGCAATTATAAAATTAATCACTAGTCATTTTTGAAGATCGATAGATTTGGGACTTATTTTACATTTGTCCAAATAGTCAGAACTTGTCAGAATTGTATAATACAGTTCTTTGCATTCAAGATTTAATATTAGTGACGCAATTAGTCATTGTGGAGCTTGTCTCTAAGGTGGACATTTGGTGGTACAGTAATGTGAAATGTAAAAAGCTAATAGTTTACTTGTAATTTTAAAATATTTGTTTATGGACATTGTTAGTTTAATAGTGGAAATTTAGCAAAGTTGGTGCATGGTCTGACCAAGTGGGACGACTGTCAAGGGTGAAAACCAGAGAAACCAGCACTGAACCTTGAGGGATACCTTGGGAGAGAAGTGCGATGGAAATGTCCTCTAAATAAAGCCTACAATACCATTTCTTACATAGCCACTGCAGCAACAGAATATGAACCCATTACAAATACAGCACAATAACAACATTTGAATGCCATTAACGTTGTATCGTGAGGGAAAATAATCACACACAAAAAGTGAAGTCAAACTGTCATATATTGAAAGGAAATGTTTCTTTTACTGATAAAAATAAAGCAATCTAGATGAGATGTCATCTTTCCACAATGAATATTGCCACGCGCTGACGCCAAGGTCGATCACTGCAACAATGCAACGCTTCAGTCCGTTTGCTTTGGAGACAAAAGAAGTGAACACCTTCTCCAAGGTGAAGCAGACAAAGGCAAGATCATCCCACTGCGGAATGTGCGCCCGAATGCATGTATCGTATGACGCAGACTCTTGTACATTACTCATTAATAATTCAGCACCTCTTTGTTTCCTCCCCCAGCTCCCCTTGAATCTCTCAAACAAAGCATGGGGATAAAAAAAAAAAAAAAAAAAAAAGAGAAGTGAGGCATAGCAACGTGTAACAGATGGCGTTACCGGGTGTTCTAATCCTCAAGGATCAGCGGTCCCCCTTGTTGGGGCACGGGTCTCTCTGTGTGACCAGCAACAACATTGGCCTGTCAAAGTGACCAAATCCTGATTCCTTTGCTAACTGATAATCTTCTGGAAGGTCTCATCGAGCCTATTTGAGGGTTCAAGTCTCGGCATCATCTAACAATATCGTTCAAAACGAGTTTTGCTTGGTGTTTTTCCCCCGTCTGGGATTTGCGTCCTGCATCTTCTACTTGCATCAACTTCCACAGAAATAATAGAAAGTAAACACATTTTATTTCTATATACACATGTGAAAGTAGGTGTGTCCTCTTTGAGAAAAAAAAAAAGTTTTTTTTTTTTTAATGTGTATTCAAACTAACAAATACACTTTTTAATGGTTGAACAATTTACATATGGGAAAATTAGCCATCAAACGGAATGGCTCAACTAGTCCATATGGCATCCTTCCAGCTCTCTAGCATTCTTTTCCCCATTTAAGTTGTATAGGAGAGCCAATTTCCCTCTGCAAAATTAAGGCTCGAGATAAACGGTTTCGCATTGCAGTTTACGAGACAAAATTAGCATTTGTAGCCTCATCAAAGCGGATTGAATAGCAAAACTGAGAATTAACTTCCAAGATGGCTGGTCTGGATGTCACCAACCGCGGTCAGAGGTTGAGTCAAGCTCGGTGCTGCTTTAAGTTGGAAAGATTGAGAAGTCATGTTAATTGCTAAGCTATCGTAGGAATGACACAGCTAGCACATTTAATTATTGAATGAAGTGCTTGAGTGATTGAGTCCACTTTTCAAACATCTGGTTGGAACCGCATTAAAGCAGAGAACGTCCAATTTTGAACAGCAAAGTAGCAGGCAGAGAAATGCCTGCTTACTAAAGCGAACTGGTACTCCTGTCAAACAAATCATAGTCGAACAAGTGAACCAGGAAATTGGTGTCAGTTGACCCCGAAGAAAGGTTTGAACTGTTTTTTTCAAGCTATCCCAGAAATAAAGCTACGAAGCTGCACTTCTGTCATTCAGCCTCCAGATGGCGCAGTCAGCCACGAGCTTGAAAGCTATGCGCGTGCGTCCACAATAACAATTTCATAAAAGTCCATTAAAAAAATCCAATTACAAACTAAATGTCCAAATTGATAACACAAAATGATTAGTTACTCAGACAAATCGCACAATGACGAATCACGGCGATTTAAGCTCAACGGCTCCTCCTCTCCTATTTAACGTGGTCACGCAGAACTCTCCCCTCCTCTCCTTTCTCTCTCACGCACGCCCACCTCTCCATTCACCCTCCTCTTCAGTTGGAACCCGAGCTACAACCGGTGGACTTCCCGCAAGCAGTGAGTTTAGTCTCCCCCGTGCGTAAAAAGTGACCATGGTGACTTTTACGCACCGCTGCTAACCGGAGAAAACGATGGAGTAGTCGCCCTCTTGGATTCGCGCTGAGATGGCGGCACTTCGCAGGAAATTCGGCGAGGACTACCAGGTGGTCAGCACCAACCGGGCCGGGGGCGTGGATGGAAGTGGCGGCGGCAGTGGCTTCTCGGTGCCGGCGGCAAAGAAGAAGAGGCAGCGCTTCGTGGAGAAGAACGGCCGCTGCAACGTGCAGCACGGGAACCTGGGCGGCGAGACCAGCCGCTACCTGTCGGACCTGTTCACCACCTTGGTGGACCTCAAGTGGCGCTGGAACCTGCTCATCTTCATCCTCACCTATACGGTGGCGTGGCTGGTGATGGCGTCCATGTGGTGGGTGATCGCCTACATCCGCGGCGACCTGCAGCAGCACGCCCGCGACGCGTCCTACACGCCGTGCGTGGCCAACGTGTACAACTTCCCGTCCGCCTTCCTCTTCTTCATCGAGACGGAGGCCACCATCGGCTACGGCTACCGCTACATCACCGAGAAGTGTCCCGAGGGCATCATCCTCTTCCTGTTCCAGTCGCTGCTGGGCTCCATCGTGGACGCCTTCCTCATCGGCTGCATGTTCATCAAGATGTCGCAGCCCAAGAAACGCGCCGAGACGCTCATGTTCAGCCAGGACGCCGTCGTCTCGCAGCGGGACGGCCGGCTGTGCCTCATGTTCCGCGTGGGCAACCTGCGCAACAGCCACATGGTGTCCGCGCAGATCCGATGCAAGCTCATCAAGGTAATCGGGAAGGAGCAGTCTGGTTGCGGAGGGCGAGAAGTTGAACGGTGCAACTTCCCGATTGCACTTTGAAGCCCTTTACGGTGCGACGCGTCATGTTGGGGAAACTTTGTGGGGAAATGTGGGGTCCAAAGTGAGACCCAAGATTTATTTATTTTTTTCCAATAATGGCCCACCAAGCATGCTTGGCAATAAACATGACCTAAGCTTCCAGTTTATTACAAGCTAATGTACTTTTTAAATGAAAAATTAAAAGCTGTCCCACCATTTAAAAAAAAAAATTAGAACATCCCCTAAATTGTTTATTTCATTTCACATAATTCCTCAACGTAAACAAATGCAATTAAAAGAGAATGGTATTAAATGTGTTCAATATTTTATCTTAAAAAGTTACCTATTATTGTCTTATTTATTTGTATTACCAGAATTTTAAAAACATACAAAAAGATACCACTTTTTAAACACATTTTTGAACCATGGTTCCCCCCAACTTCAAATAATGAGATCCCATTCAATTTTGGCCTTCATTTAGCATTTGGCAGCAATTCAAAACACACAAATGAGGAATACGTTTGCCCTGTATGGTAAAAAAGGTTTCAAAATGACTATGTCCAAATGGAGACTTTTTAATCAATGAAATCTTTCATGAAGCTTTAACGCGAAACCAAGTTCAATCCAAATGTAACTGAAACTGATCTAAAACAGAAGTCTTTAAATTTAATGCATCCACAATGAGACTCGTATTTAGCCTTAGAGTTCATTCGGAAGCTGTAAAACCCGCGAAACCACGTTTAATCAGAATCTGATCAAGCCTTAAACAGCCATTAAGAAAGCATGAAACAGTAGCCGTGAAAGGTCCAAAAGTCACAAAATTCGATGTGTTCAAAAGGAGACTTTAACTTAGCCATTAAGATATCTCAAAAGCTGCAATTATCCCCAGTTTAACATGATCTGATCCTGATCTCGCTTCGGCACCAGTTCAGAAAATACCAACAAGAAATATACGGTGACAGGCAATAGTCGACAAGGCTCAAATACGGACTTGCCGCAAAAACGTTCATTTTAGTCACGCTCAATCAATGATTTGATTACACTTGAACATTGGCGGAGGTCATATTGAATATGGAGAAGGAAGCAGTAGCGAGCAGGTGTCAATGCACAACAGATGCTCAGCCTTTTTTTTTTTTTTTTTGAAAGCAAATACAGCTCACTATCACTATCCATCAGCAGCGGCAGGTGTGAGATAAGTGTGTGTGTGCATGTGTGTGTGTACGCACACGCACGCTGGTCAGGTAGGTGTAAAAGCGGGAGTACGGTTGGCCTTCCAAGAGAAGCGGAGTGGAGTAGCACAGTGAGTAAAAAAAAAACTGCACTCCCGGGAGCCCGTGCCGAACATAAAAGGATATTTATGGCTCTTGTGAACCCAGGCATCATTCACTTCCTTTATGATCTTCATCTTTTTTTTTTTTTTACCTCAGTCAAGGAGCTTTGTCAAGCAGTGAGAGAAAGCATTACTTGGACGTGACGCAGGGAAGATCCTGTAAAAATGGCCACGTCAGAACGCTAACCCGTATTTACATCAGCGATGTTGTAAATAATTGCTCACACATAAGATCACAATCATATTAAATGTTCTCTGCAACTCTAATGTAACACAAAACCTTAACGTTCCATGCAATTCTCATTGAATACATTTGTATTCAATGTGATGTACTTTAACGTCATATTACATGCTGCGGACAACTCTTATCATATTTAATGTTCTTTCACACACCGGCCATATTGAATATTGGATGCAATTCTAATGTTTCAGGATCTCTGAAATTCTGACATACCAAATATAATGTTATTTATAACTGTAAGGTACTATATATTGACATTTTGGGCTCTATTTTCACGCCCAGCGCATGGTGTAAATCTGCGCAGGGGCAGGCTAGACCGGGTATTGGTATTTTTGAAGAGTTTGGCGCAATTTAAAACATGCGTTTTGCGGTGACCACAGCTGACTTGATTCACCGCCAATGGAAGAGGCTCGTCATTCCTTTTAAAAGCTGCGCGTGAGAGGCGCGGTCCTTGACACACACGGTGGACGCAGAAAGTGATTTGCTGGAGTCCATGCCGGAGGTCGAAGCAGGCAAAGTACGTTCATGAGGATGATGTAAAGTTGGCGAGGGCGATTAAAGATCTGCGAAGTGGGCACTTGGAGACCACCTTCCACCCCGACAGCACTCGTCTGTGCGCGGCAAGTTGTTATTGTCCTTCCCCACCCCCGCAAAGAAGCTAGTGTGAACTGACGGTGGCTATAGTACAAAGTGTGTTACCGCCATCTAACGTAGGGGTTCTAAAGCAGCGTTCTAGTTTAATCTAAAAATTTGGCTCGTATCTGAAGACGAAAAAAAATGGTGAAGTCATATGTTGAAAGCACTCGATTCAATTTGCTTTTCTACTCTATGTAACATATTTACATCATATTCAGTGTTGTATACAACTCATTACTGGATTTGAATGCACCTTATTTACACCACAACAGTCTATACGCTTTCACTACCGTTTTGATGACCTCTGTATTTTTTTTTTCATTGTTTTCTGGGGAGGCGGGAGACACGTGATGTACGGTGTATGTAATTTGAGGAAAACCCGGAGCAGTCGCCAGCCACGGTGGCGAGACGGCTGCAGAAAAGGAGATCAAAAAGATTGACCGTCCACTCTTTAATTATCATAATTGACTTCCTTTCCATTACATCCACGTACAGCATGCAAAAAAAGGGCCGTTAAAGAAAAAAAAAAAAAAAGACAAACAGCATTAGCCGGCCGAGAGCTGCTACTCTTTTCGCCACACGCGGAGTGTTGCGTCAGGAGGCTTAATGATGCGTGAATGAGGAGGAGGAGGAGTTGGACTTTTTCCACATTTGCAAACACGCAAGCTGCCCGTCAAGCGTAATCGCACACAATCACATCGACAAAACCACAAGCGATTCGGTACGCTTCATGGATTGTTTTATACGAGACTGTTGGAAATAAGTGAATACAATTTCATAGACTAAATATTAAAATGTAGGTTGTAGTTGGATAAAGCAGAACCGAGCTTCTGAGAACGGAAAAGGTTTTGTTGGCCTTGACCACCACCATTGACTGTTAAATATATGTTCTTAAAAAAAATCACCTAAAAACATTGCCTGGAGAGTTAATGAAGCTTCAATGAAGCAGAATACCGTCTGATGGAAACTGTTTCCGAAGCCAAACAAATTGGCGTTTTAAGAGGGATTGTGTCGGACCTCACAGATTCCGCCGCCGTCTGTTTGTGTGAAAGCGTTAAACAATGGCGGCTGTTTGGACAGGAAGTTGTGGGGCGATCGGCGTAGTGGATAATTAGTGGCTGACAGCTGCCAACAGAAAGACAAAGAAGAGGAGGAGGAGGAGGAGGAAGATGAGTCTGTCACTCAGTGAGCGGCTGACGAGTACCGATGGAACAGCGAAATGCCACAGGTGCGGAGAGCGAGGGAACTTAATGAAAAATTTGCATGGTAAGAGTTTCATCCGGAAAAAAAAAAGAATTGTCTGTCTTGTTTTATCTCCTCAGAGGTTTGGGGACTCGGAATTGGTTTCTATTGCATTTTCTAATAAGAGATGTAATCAAAAGGCGTGTACGAGGAGGCCAGAAGAAGAAAGATGCTTAGGACACCTCATAGTACAAGTTTTTTTTTTTCCCTGTTGGGAATGAATGTGGAAAGCTAGCAGAATACTGATTAAGAGCAACAATGAATTTACTTGGATTATTTCTATGTCCTGGGTGGGTTTGACTCTTGCCCACCAGGACAGCTGGGACTTCGGGGCAGTTGTGACTCTGCACAAGATAAGCAGAAGTACTAAATGAACGGATGGATTTGTAATAGTTGTGGCGGTTAGTGGAAGTAACTTGTGAGAGGAGCAATAGTGATCATGCACGCGTGTGCCTATGTGTTGATGTTTTTGATTTCGTGGATTATTTCTAGGGCGGCACGGTGGACACCTGGTTAGCACGATGGACTCACAGTGCAGAGGTGCAGGGTTCGATTCCGGGCTCTGGAAGTGTATAAATTTAAGCACATCTCAAGTCTAATAATAAATGCGGCGCTCGGGAAGCGAAATCATCTTCTTTGAGGCACAGAGACTCTGGGAAAAGACAGCAGACTTGTAAGCCGCTTCGCCTGTGGACTGTCGCCATACGGGCTGCTCATCCGTCTTGTTAATTTGACAAGAGACAAGGCAGCGAAAAAAAAAAAAAAGTGAAAAGGACGGAGGTAAAGCGTTTTGACGGGCTTGCTCACAAGCCGCTAAGTAGCTAACAAGTGAACAACGGCCCGCTGACTCCACAGCGGCAACGACACGGAACCCTGCGGCACACCTCATTCATATTCAATTGGTGACGAGGCTGTTTACTCACATGACACTCGCAGGGGGACTTCATGGGGGTTGTTGGCCGGCGGCAATGTCATGGACGGGTCAGTGGGGGGCCGAGGGGGTTGCTGATGTTGTTGATGATGTTAGTGGACGTATAAAGAAACCTGCAACATGAAGAAATGCATGCTGACTGCACAGGCGGTAACAGGACAGCGTACATCCTGTGTGTGTGAGCGAGACCATGCATGAAGAGGATGTGACTTTGTGCATTGGGTGGCAGTTATGATGAATACATGGTAACTGTGTCCATTATTTCAAGTGTTTGTATTTATTCTATTGTGAAAGGTAGAATTCGTCAATAACTGTCCATCTTTTCAGTCCCGCCAGACCCCCGAGGGGGAGTTTCTGCCCCTGGACCAGTGCGAGCTAGACGTGGGCTTCGGCACGGGGGCCGACCAACTCTTCCTGGTCTCGCCACTCACCATCTGCCACGAGATCAACCCCAAGAGCCCCTTCTTTGACCTGTCCCAGCGCTCGCTCACCAGTGAGCAGTTTGAGATCGTGGTGATCCTGGAGGGCATCGTGGAGACCACTGGTAAGCGGCGACGACGCCTCCGTCTTCGCCTCCTTCTATCCCGTCTCCATCTAAATGGAAATATGAACATTAGTCAGTCAGTGGAGATGGAGCCGCTTTGAAACCTCATTTCGCCGGTGCCTTTCCGGCTCGGCGTAGGTACGAGTGACGGTGACACATGCAGAGGGATCGAATTAGGTGGGTTATTTTATTACGGGGAGATGCCGTGATACTTTTTGCATAACAAGCTCATAGCGGCCGTGTGTCACATTGACGAATGTGTCTCTGTTTTTAAGATGTCAACTGGAAACCATTTGCGGCGTGGCTCACCAGAATGTAAACATTGCGGATTGAACCCGTGTCAGATTCAATTTAAAAAAAAAATATTAGACAATTTGGCAAATGATTAGAATTGATGTCACGCAAAACTGGAAATCATAATTGCTGACGTTGGAATGTAAACACAGAAACACAACATTGTGGAGTGACAATGTGTCCGATTCAACGTGACTTTGAGCTAATTCCATTTTTTTTTTTCTTTGAACGTTGCCAGTCAGCAATTTTTTTTTCCCCACCGCCCGGCGTATTTACCGCGGCGCACCTCCCCGGGGGGGTCTGCTACAAATAAATCCCTCCTTTCTTTTCTCTTTCCCAGATAACACTCACTTATAACCCAGTGCTGGAAGACACACCGCTCAGCTCAATAGGCTTAGCAGATTTAAAAAGAGGGAGGAAGAGTGGGGGCTGGGGGTTAGTATGTATAGAGGCAGCCGGGCTGGCCATGGGGGTCTGCGTTGTATTGATAGTGCCATTAAACCCAGGCCGCGACGAGAAGTTTATTGCTGCAGTATTCCTGGACAGGGAGGATAAAAGCCTCAACTTTAGACGCCTTACGCGGTCCAACACCCCAAAGGAGCTTTTATTGTACAAGGACTACTGGGGAGGGGGCGCAGGGGTGGGGTGGGGGGGGGGCGTGTAAGCACAAAGCAGAGTAAGATCATCATGGGTGCATGCCACCAATATGCCAACTGACGGTTCCAAAAGCTACATTTTGACGTATGACATGGCTTTTGGGCAGAGCACAAAACGTGTGTGGATGAATTCTTCATCTTAGGGGGTTCAGGCGGGCAGGTTTTCCGTTGTGTTGTGCGCCCGGAATAGCAACAGTCAGATGACATAACACCCGAAGGGCACAAACAGACTCCTACTCAGGAGTCCGAGTGCTTGGTGTAGAAACCAGGTCTTTGTTGATTGTTTATTGACCTTTGAGTGGAACAAAAGGCCAAGAGATCCCCCCACCGCCTTCCCAAAAGGTTCACCAGTTCTGTTGCCCTTGCAGGCATGACGTGCCAGGCGCGCACCTCGTACACAGAGGACGAGGTCTTGTGGGGACATCGCTTCCTGCCCGTGATGTCCCTGGAGGAGGGCTTCTTCCGGGTGGACTACTCGCAGTTCCACAGCACCTTCGAAGTCCCCACGCCGGCGTATAGCGTCAAAGAACACGAGGAGAAGAATTCCTTGCCGTCGCCCGTGTCCACGCCTGCGCTTACCGAGAGCCAACGTGCCCGGCGCGACCGCGTTTTCTCCGTGGACTGCATTAATGCGGCGACGGCGACGATGGGAGGCGGCGACGGCGGCGGCGGGCGGCGGCTGCCCAGCAAGCTGCAACGGATCAGCTCATCCGGGAAGGAGGACCTCCAGAGGAAGGTGCTGATGCTGAGCTCGCAGCACTCCGAGAAGGCATGCAGCACAGGGGACCTGCCGCTCAAGCTCCAGCGCCTCGGATCTTCTCCGGGGCCCGACGACTCGCTGAAAGTCGGATTCGAACCCATGACTCAGTCCACCGGGGACTTATACCAGCATAGCCTGATGCCCACCTTATGCCCGCCGCAGCCCCGCGCACACAGCCCACTTTTGTCGGCCGGCAGGAGGCCCGAAGACAACCTACCGGCCAAACTACGCAAGATGAACCGCTGAAGAGATGAAGTCCGCCCTGGAGAGGGCAGCATCGGACAAAATCCCGAAGTGACTACTTGTCGATGACTTTTCACCGCACACGTTGGGATTTTTTTTTTTTTTTCGCACAACGAAAATGCGGAGCTGCACAAAACGGATCCCTCTGCATGTACGCTTGTTAGTCAATCTTAAGTTTTATCAATGAATAAATCACGTTCACATTCAGTCACTCTTGTGTTTAATTCAGTACGGCAGGATCTGGGGCAATATAAGCTCACCTATGATCTACAGCTTAAGCTGAACAGGGAGACGTTTGGCAGCTTGTCGGAAAGCGTTGGCTCACGCCCCACTAGTTCAAATTCACCAAGCATCGGAATGTTCACCCACAAATAAAAATAGAAATATCAAATACTGTTGTTGCCGCTCTGAAATCACTCCGCCAACATTCTTGACTGGTATTTCGCTATTCACGGCACCTTCCAAGTACATCGCTGTTGTAGATAGGACAATGATAATCGTTGATTCCATTGATTAATATTTTTAGCTGTAGTAGAATTAATCATTTCGGCACAGTGGTTGGAAATCACGAGTTTAACAGACAGCTGGACATGCCATTTTGTCTCTTGTGGAGAAGCTGCTCTTTTTGTGCATCAGTGCAGGACAAACAGCATAAAGGCTGCAAATAAAGACGCAAATAGAGGAGAGGTGTTGTTGACTGGTCGATGGGGCCCGTTGAAAGTCAAAAGCGCAGCCGCACGGAAGGTTAATGAAGTGCTGTCAAATAAACAGCGCCAAACCACGCATCTGCTCACATGAACAGTCTGATGGACTTCGCAAGACAAAACTTGCCTGACCGGACTAAAAGGTCACTCACTACTTGATAACGACTTGGCTTTTATGACGTGACCAGGTCCATAGACGGGTTTCGTTATAACGACTTGAAAATGTGGTTGGTTCAAATGTAATAAAAGAGAGTGTCATATGACAAATATATAATGTCGACTATATGGAATGTCATGAGAGTGTATTTCATTTGCTCCCAAAGGACCAATAATGAGTTGTCAACAAACATCAAAACAAACCCTCACACACGCACACGCACGTAGCTTCTTCAGACTGTGTTTTGTCAGCACCAAGAGCACGGTGTGCCTTAATTTGTTGGAGGCAGCAGTGATCAATGCTCTGGGAACTTTTATTTATTTTTTTCTTCACCCCCCCCCACGGCACACTTGGAGGAAGGCAGGGTTCCTTGCATCCGGCGCTCATTAGAAAACAACTCAACACAAGTTCAGATGGCAAACAGCTGCTCAATTAATGTGGGTGCGTGACGAAATGACAGTCCACAATCAGCTGAATAAAAGTAAATCAATCAAAAATCAAAAGTATGACGACGCTGTACTTGAGCAGAAGTACAGATGACGAAAAGATGAAAAGTCGTGCTGCACAGTGTATTTTTTTTTGGGGGGGGAGGGGTCAATTATGAGTGGAGTTTTACGATTTGCGACATGGCTTGCTAGCGCTGCTATTTTGTTTAAGATGGACAACTTTCATGGACATACAGCAATAGCGAATTAAGCATGCAAAATGAACCCTAAAAGTTCATGTATGATATCAATTGGGAAAAAAAATAATAAAAAATAAAAAAAGAAAAAAAAAAAGAAAAGAAAACGAAGGACATTTTCACTGTCTGGTTTTGTAAAATGATCCTGATGTCTGTTCAGGTTAAAAATACCTTGGACATGAATACTTGATCCAGTGAATAATGTCCAAAGTCAAATGACTAGTCGTTCATTATTAACACCTTTTTTTTTCCTCCTCTCTGTCAGTCTGTCAGCTTGTTTTGATGTATGTCAGATTCACACACACACACACACACACACACACACACACACACACACACACACACACACACACACACACACACACACACACACGCACGCCATTGTGCGAGTGTTTGTTTTGATGCGTGTCTGAATCCTACACACTCAGCGGAGGGCTAATTGGACCGCCTCTGGGTGGCTAAGAGGGAAGTCGGCCTCAACGAAAGAAAGAACAAAAAACACAGCTGTTGGCCGTCAATCCAAAGGTGAGCATTGCCACGGCAACCGGGCGAATACGGAGATTCACAGCATGATTCCAAAATCAAAATTGGAGTCGTGGAGATGGATTACATCAATAATTCATCATTACAGAACGTTACGTTGATCTATTTTTTTTTTTTTTTTTGTGTGTGTGAATTATTCACGACGTGATCCTCGCGGACAATCCGCCGATGGGACACATCCAGACGTAGACGTTTCGGGAAATCAAAAGGCGAGGTGTTGAGAACATCGGAGGGGGTCTCACGGGTTTGAGGTATCAAATTTTCACGTTAACACCTGTCAGTCTGAAAAACAGGCTCCATTACGTGCAGGTGTGCCTATAAATAACTTCGACGAAGCATTCCTTGTCCAAGAAGACAGATGCGAGGCAGAACCAGGACAAAAAAAAAAAAAATCTGCATTTTTTTTTTTTTTTTTTTTAAATCTCGTCAAAATGTGGAAAAAAAGAAATTAAAAAACTGACTTCAAAATTCCAGCCAAGCATGATGAAATGTACTGTAAAGATACCATAGTACCTTGACTTAAGAATGCCGGATGAGCACTTTTTCCCTAGCTGGACAAAAAGCTCGTCGAGCGCGACTTCTGCTGTGAAATTGTACCTGTCAATCACACGAGACGGGACCTTTATTTATTCATTCCAAGTTGCTATTTTGTTTTAATCTCCACTCGCACTTGAATGACATGTACGCTCATGTTTGTTTTTGGGGAAGGTAGGCGACCTATTTGAACACAATGGTGCTTTTTAATTGATTTTAAATGCCACTCTCACATGAATGATTAGAGCTTCCACAGACTCCGACAATTATGGGGTCCCGCCATGGAGTGCTTTGTGTCTACGTTTGTTTTCTGGGGAGCTACATGACGTTTTTTGTCCTTTGTAGTTTTATTTATTTATTTTCCACATCACTTTCACTTGAATGATTCCCTTTCCGGTAGACTGACAATTATGTGTTTGTTCCACAGTCTTTTTTTTTTTTTTTTGCTTTGTTTTGTTTTTCTACTGTTTGTTTTGACTTTTTTTTTCCGAAAATTGTGTTTTCCCAACTGAAGGCCTCACACCTAATAAGACAATTTCCTCATGGCCACTTTTTAAACCATCCATCATTGTACTTGATCAATACAACATCATGCGCGTGTCCAAATAAATATGTCTGTCTAAATAAATATGTCCGGGGGTGGGGGGGGGGGGGGAAAGTCGGCCTCAAATAAGCATTTGTAATGAAAAAAACTGCTTTGTCGTCGTGGCCTCATTTGTATGTGTCAAAGTATAATTAATGTTTAGAGCCATCACACAGCACAACTCTGTCCCCAGCTCAGACACGTAATTAATTACTTTCCCTTTAGTTCGACCTCTTTTGTTCTCACAAAAAAAAAAAAAAAACCTGCACCGCACAGGCGCACACACACACACACACTTAAAGCAAACTAAAGCAAAGCGGAAAAAAAAAATTAATTACCAAATTAATTGGTGCACTGAAGCCAAGGAGCCTCCCCTATTATCGCCCCAAACAAAGATGGCTCCAAGGCATCCCGATTCATTCCAACTTGGCATGTGATGCAGTTGAATGATCAAATCCATCCACGGCAACTTTCGACACATTCATGAGACAGTGTGATATCACTCGCGACAATTGAGGAGCTATACGACACAAGACAGCCAAGGCAAGTTTTGTGAAGGTGTGACGGATGATTTGGAGACGCCGCGATGATTTCAGCGGGAACAGGAAGTGCACACTGTGCTTTTTTTATTGCTTTTTCTGGGCTGCCGATTTCCCGCTGTCGCCGCTTGATATGCAAACTATTACCTAGTCGCTGATACGTGCAGCCAGGAGCTTTCGAGGTAACCGCACTAAAACTCACAAATGTGATCCCAATCACATTGTTCCCCGAGATAATTCCGACATTGAGATTCAGCGGCACTTATTTGCGTCCCGACTCGCTTTCTTTTCTTTTTTTCGCCCCCACAGGCTGACAACACGCCCGACGACAATCAACCGAGCTGACGGCCGTCATATTTATTCATCATCAATTAGTCGTCATGCCGGCTCATCCCGTGCAAACATTAACTCCCGAGAACAACGCGTGAACCGACTGCCGTGTCTTCCATTCGCACAATTGAAGCGAAGGCTTAATGGCTCCATTAACAAGATAATAATGGGACGGACGCACGTTGATTTTACATCCCATAAAAGCGCTGGAAAATGTCATCAAAATGAAACGGCTTAAAAAAATAAAAAAAAAGTGGGGCTAAACTTTAATTGGTCGCGAACAATAAAACCATTGCTTCCCAATGTTCTGAACGTTTGTTTGGAAATTAGCATCCCCGAGGTTCAAGCGGCCAGATGGGTTGCGACATTGCTCCAGACGAGCGTCCAAAATGCCACTTTGCCACATTGCGTGCTGATGGCGGGAACAAAAAAAAAAAAAAGTGAATAGAGCAGAGAGAATGTGTGACGCCGCTAGTCTCTTCCCTCACCAAGTACAACCCCAAGTATGGATTCTATCCTCTTCTCGCGGCTTGCGCGTCTGAATGAATCATCCCGGAGAGCCATCTGACCGTCAGACGGCAAATGCTTGACTGTCTGTGTACTACTCCAAAAATAATCACGACATCAAATTATACGCGGCGCCTCCATGGCCTCGCCGTGTGCGTACCAAATGGTTGATCCTTCGGCCTTCTCGACGCTGTTTCGTCTCACGCTGGCGGCGAGGGAAGAAAATAGTTGGAAATCATGCCAATCTATAAATCAATAAAAGAGACTAAAATGACGTCTTGAGGGAAAATGGAAACGTTTCACCTGAAATTACAATCACGCTTCGTTTATGGTCTTTTGTTTCGCAACGCGGCGCCATGCGCTAGCTTCCGATGCTTTTTCCCGCAAATACGGTTGAGAAAATCTTGACTAAAATCTGAGGCTAGCAGTTGCTGTGGTCAACCACGGCAAACAGAGGGACTCGAATGTGGGCAATCCAAATGGTCATTGTGAATAATAATGCCCCCGGAGTTTGTTTGGGGGCGGCCGCGCTGGCTCGTACCTTCCTGGCCGCAACAAATGAGCGTATGCAACTTTGCGTCACATAGCACCAGAGCCCCGAAAGCAATAACAATGCAAACATAATGGACACCTTCCTAATTATGCCTCCCTCAACACCAAGGCGCGGGGAAATTACCCTCTCATTGAAAGCAGCGACAGCCCACCGAGGTGAAATGAAAGTCCGCATGGAACTCGACTTTGATGGCAATGACCATGAACGGCCGGCGGGAGGAGGCGGGGGTGGTGTGGAGGGGTGGGTGGCGTCTTCAGATACAACAACAAATAATCCAATTTAGGTCTGAAGAAATAACAATCGCGACTCAGCGGCCATTTTGTTCTTTTTGATGCAGAGAATTTAGACATGGCATCACACACACAAACACACACACGCTCGGTGTTTTTTCTACACATGAACATGCTCACGCTCTCACATAAACTCAATCACACTGCAGCGCACGCACGCGCACGCGCACACACACGCACAGCCTCTCGCATTGACGCACACTCTCTCAAATACACACATTCACACAATGACACATTGACAGTGACAATTACACACACAT